CTTGTTGCAGCAGCCAGGTTCAACTCCAACCTGTGGCCCTTTGCTGCGCATATCCCCCATTTGCTGTCACTCTACAGCTCTCTATCAACTAAAGGCAATAAAAGCCCCCAAATATCTATATTAAAAAAAAATAACTTCTCACAACTCAATCAACAACTGCAATCTGAGTAAATAAGTGAACTGGTCTGAATTAGGGGGTCACAAGCAGTTTAATGATTCTTACAATACACTTGTTTCAAAACATCTTGATTTGGGACCTTTTATAGTCAATTAATTATAGTCAATTAATGTCTTCTTATGACCCCTCATCTCAGGTTGCATATGTCCGCGAGCTGTGAGCAGCAGCTGAAGCAAAAATGTTGAGTTAGTCATCTCGTTATCCCATTAATGGATTCCTGACCCCCAGGTTTGGGATACATGTACACATTTGTTTCCCTTTTTGTAAACTGTTACTGCTGCAGTTTTGGAAAAGTCTTATCAGGTTTTCTATAGATAGCTGGGAAACCTCACCTGCAGCCTACTGCTGAGTTGAGACAAATATTCACATGGTAGGAAATGTGACATCTGTCATATATATCACACCACCCGAACCTGGACTGACCTACTGAATGAGATAAAACAATATCAATCCTCACAAACATACAAAAGTGCGTCTTCCAGTAAAATCTTGGATATGAAAGCTCCACATTTGCACCTGTGCACATTAGGCCTCGCTGGTTTGAAATTACATAATTGTTGATTACGTAACTGTCAAATCAAGAGCACTGTCCAATCAGAAGTTGTCGCAGGTGGCCTAGGAGTTTTATCCCTTTAGTTTTGACGTCACTCAAGGTCTTGCTGATGCCTTTAGCCATATGGCTCTTTCCCAGAACAGAGTTTTGCATGTTGCCTTTCTGACCTTGACGTATATAAAGAGTAACAGTGTGGACTTAGAGTTACATTCAGAGGAAAGTCACCATGAAGGCCCTGGTGTTCCTGGTTTTGCTTGGAGCAGCATGTAAGACACTAACCAAACTCTATTTTTATTATTTATTATATGAACTCTAAATGTACTTGTGTCAGGACTTCAGCGATCAACCATTTCTAGGTTTTCCATCTGTCATATTTGACCTCATATGCTGTTACAGTTGCTGCAGCTGAGGATGATAAGATTGTCGGAGGGTACGAGTGTCCCAAACACTCTGTTCCCTACCAGGTGTCTCTGAACGCTGGATACCACTTCTGCGGTGGATCCCTCATCTCAAGCCAGTGGGTGGTGTCTGCTGCTCACTGCTACAAGTCGTAAGTATACAGGAAGTCACATTACAACCAACTGATGTACCCTTGCCAGTTACATTGAAGGATTTGGCTTAAATGGACATGGCATTTCAGAATATCAAAGCAAGGATCAATAGTGATTGTGCATCAGTAGCTTATAGGGTATTTGGTCTTTCCTCTGTAGGTGCACAACAGTGGTCCAAAAACACTTTTATTAAAGGATGAAGCAATTTTAAAACAGAAAAAAATATGAGATACCATAAACAAGAGTTACAGTACAGTTCATTTAATATCTATATTGACACATAGTCCAGACAGCAAGCATTAGCGTATAATGGCTAGCTTGATTAGCAGTAAAACATTAAATGAACAAATTGCAACTGAAACAATTAGAAAACAGCTACAGAAACAGTAATAACAAAAACAGCAGCGACAGATAATGCTCCAACAAGGTCATTTGGGGAGTAAATAAATAAAAGACGGCACTGTCAGTTCTCAGATCTGACAAAATGGTGGACGTAACAATGTCAGTTGAACACATACTGTCTGTGGTTGAACAATCTGTTGCTACTAGCAGCCAGCAGACCCACACACAGGCAATAGTGGCTTACAGACTCAATCTATTTAATTTACTTAACATTTACAGGAGTTAAAATACAAAGAGGCAGCTTAAACATCCTCCAACTGCTCCCTTAATATTTATTACTCAAGAGAAATATTCATGGAGTGGCATGTCAGAAATATATGCTGATTCAATCGATAACAATCACATATATCAATATTTGCTTAGAAAAGCCTCCAAATGAAAATATTTGAACTCAAAAATATTACATTATTAAAATATAAATCTCTAAAAGTGGCATTAGAAATCTATAAATTTCCAAATACATCTTTTTTCATTGAACTTAAGCCTATCACTTAGTCTAAAATGTGACCATGAATTCATCAAAATTAATGTGTTAAACCTGACAGCATTTGACAGCAGGGTTGCAGCAGGGGTGGCCAGGCTTTTTTTTTAATCCCCATGTATGTTATGTTAAAAGGGATAAGAACACAATCTTCCTTCCTGGAAATGAAAATTTGAATTGATAAGAAATAAAAGGCATTAAAGGACATTGGCTTACTTGGTCCGGTAGTTTAAGGTGGCTAATGTTAGCAAACTTAGCAAACTGGCATATCAATGACATCACCGAGTCACATTACTTGTCTCTGCTTTAAATAAATACAATTATTACAATATAGGCAGAAACCAGACTTTAAAACTGTTTCATGTGACCACCAGTCGTGTCCAGGTCCGTCTTGGTGAGCACAACATCGCTGTGAATGAGGGCACCGAGCAGTGGATTGATGCTGCCAAGGTGATCAAGCACCCACAGTACAACAGCTACAACCTGGACAACGACATCATGCTGATCAAACTGAGCCGCCCCGCTACCCTCAACAGCTACGTCCAGACCGTGGCCCTGCCCTCTCGCTGCCCTGTGGCCGACGAGAGCTGCCTGGTGTCGGGGTGGGGCAACATGTCCGCCAACGGCAGTAAGTTGAGTCCGGAAGCTGAGAGAGGATGTAAGGGGAAAGAAGTGTGAGGCGGAAAGTGTGGCATCAGACACTGGTGCAACACAAAAAACATGATGATAGTATACAAAATACTGCATGTTTAAAGGGGCAATCCACTATTTTTACATATAAAATAAGATTCTCATCACAAAGAGCATTGCTCAGCCTTTGAAAACAGTGACTGAGGCCCAGTATACTGCATGTTTTGCACTGTAATCTCATGATTTAGGCCTCCAACTAATTAAAGCGGCAACAAATTATATTTATTCGCTAGTTACCCTGATTTTCTATTTAATTAATTAACTTTAAGTACAGATTGTAAATTGTAAAAAAAAAAAAAAAATCCATTTTGAAATATTGATATCACTTCTTTTGTTTGACCAGTGGTTCTAAACCCAAATGTATTCAGTCTTCTATTATGTAGAATAGAGGAAAGTAACAAATATTTTCACACTGCAGAAGTCACAACCACTAAACATTTGGGTTTTTTATATGATAAATAAAGGATTAATAAGCAGTCAATTCATTTCTACAGACAAATCAATTACTCAACTCATCTCCACATTACTCATACTTAACACCACATTATAATGGTAGGTGACAGGTGCAGTAACTGCAATCTCAGTGCCCATCACCCATCATCTGACGACAATTTGCATTCATATGCAGAGTTTATAAAGATTGCAGTGACTGAGACTTGCCTTCCCGCTATCCCCAGACAGCTTTCCCGACAGACTGCAGTGCCTGAGGCAGCCTATGATCGATGACAGGATCTGCAGGAATGCCTACCCCCACCTCTTCACCGAGAACATGCTTTGCTCCGGATTCATGCATGGAGGTGCCAGCAGCTGCCAAGTGAGTTGAACTAATCGCAGTGAACACACAGGGAGTCAGGTGGTACATGATGCATCTCTTCCAGCAGTGCAAGGAGCCTGTGACTCAGTGCTGTGGTGCTGAGCACACAGAAGTACACAGCATAGCACGTATCTGTCACTGAGCATTGAATATACTTACTCCTCACATGATAATAATTTAGAAATCCACTCTAATACCCTTTAATACATTTTCACAGTTGCACACATTTTTAAATTACCAGTACACCACTGCCACTGCTGTGTCTGTATCACTGTCTGCAGGAAGATGATGAAACACTATTGCAAGAGACAAGTTAACCCTTTGAACATGTTTCCGCTTCTAGTTTTTTTTTATGTTTTATGATCAACGTGATTTTAATGGTGCTTAAAGATTAGAGAAAGAGTCTGGGAAAACCAGAGGATGTTGAATGTGAACTGCTATCATCATTAAACAGTACATTGATATAAAACAGCTGAGAATTATATTAATATGAGTAATAAGACTTCCTGTATCCCCAGCTCACAACCACCTACTTCAGTTATATATTGGTTTATATGTTATATCTTGTTTTAGGTGGTTTTATAATAACACTTAGGTGGTATTAGTATACTTTTGAGTAGGGCTGGGCTATATAATGATATACATTATAAGTCAATACAAATGTGACATCCATCTGAGCTTTTTCCATAGTTTGTAGCTCTAACCAGCTATCACTTTAACATCTCTGGGTGTAGGTTATTGTGGGCAATGTTGCAAGTCAGTGTACAGGACTGCTTTATGGCAATAGTGGATTTACATGAGTTTTGAATCTATGATGATTCAATTTGTTGAGGGTTTAATTCACAAAGAGACATGTAGAGGTTTAACCTCTCACCTTACTTAAGTGATGTACAGGTGTACTCCAGGACTCTGACATCACTGTTGGGTGGTTACGGGTGCAACAAAGAACTCTTCTGACCACACCCAATGATTGAAGAGGCTTGAAACTGTCAGCCAGAGAGGGCAGCAAAAGCACTGCTTTTGAGTCTAGTGTTAAGTTACTCTTTAATACAAACATTTGCAGAAAGGAGTGACTGCTACCAATTGTTCACAGTGTACCATGAGTTCACTATGACCACTTACAGTAACATTATATGTTTGTGTTTGCAGGGAGACTCTGGTGGTCCTCTGGTGTGTGGCGGTCAGCTTCAGGGAGTCGTGTCTTGGGGTTACGATTGCGCCATGAATGGACACCCCAGCGTCTACGCCCGTGTGTGCCGCTTCAACGGCTGGATCAGCAGCGTCATGAGCAACAACTAAACATACCCATACAACCACGTGCAAGCTGACTCAGTTTAACTCAGTTTTATTTGGAACACCCTATATATTACTGTGTCATTCATATACATCTCATAAATATCATGTTTAGGCATAATATTCTGTAACAGCTGGATAAATGAATAAAAAATATACAATAGCATCCATTGCATTTGTTTTGTTTTTTACATTGAGTTTCACAGTTGTTGGCAAAACAATATTAACATGCTCTTGCTTGGTAATACTGTATTCTCACAGCTTCTTTGTCCATTCTGTTTTGCTGTCACAAGGCCACTGCTGTCTTGAAATTCATTATGAAGACAAAAACAAACCTACAAATGCTGCAAACCATCCATGTGTAATATTTAATTTGTACTTACTGCGCTATAGACACATGCATCTCTATGAAATGCCTTTTGTACTCGGTTACTGCGGGCACTGGAGTGATATGGGAGACAAGGAAACTTGGGTAAATAAGCAGTAAGGAATTTCTGCATTTCACTTGTCTGGATTCTTTGCATGCATTCCTCAGATGGCGCTTTGTAAACTTCGCTGTTTCTTGTTTGCTGAGGCAACCTGAGCATACAAAGGAAAAGACAGAGAGAGCAGAGGGGATAGTTGTGCAGCCATATCAAACAGGGAAGCATGTGTGCTGCTCATAAAAATGAGTCAGGGATGGAGTGCCAATAAATATCTTACTTATCTACATAAATATTACATATAACATATAGTTTTAGTTAAGTCATTAGAACAGAGGGAGAGGTGGCGCACATTTGTGGAGTGGACACAGTGACATGCATGTACTGGCGTAAAAACCAACATAAAGTGGGCAATAAAATCAGCAATCATGACATCTAGCTTAGTGTTTCTATTGAGTTTGAATGGATTAGTCACTCTGGACAAAAGCAACTACATAATAAATGACCTTCAAACCCCTTTTGTTTAAAATGTGTTCTCATTTAAATGGTATAACAAGTAATTTCAATACTTTTTTACTCCACATTATTATACTATTAATTGAGTATGGTGAGTATTTCTCCTGTTCTCTAGGATTTAAATACACTTTCGGAATATTAAAGATGAGGTTGCTCCTTAAAATATGATGTATTACTGACTATCATCTAATTTAAATAATTATTGAAATAATATATATCAATCATATCATATCATTTTGGACAGGATTAACTGTTCATATTGGCTCATGCGTATATTCACTGCAGCGAAGTCCAAAAACAAACAACCCACCTGACCAGCAATCCTATCCAGATCTCTCTGGCCTTGAGGAGTAAGTCTCCGTCCACTGTATTTAAACAAAAAGTACATCCATCACTTATTCAAATTACCACAACACAGTCTTAAATAAAGTGTCCCTCTCTCTCACCCATTTGGGTCCTTCTCCACCATCTTGAGGCCCTCCAGAGCCTGGAGGACTTTCCTCGCCACGTTCCTGGAGCCCACGCTAAAGTGGGCAGGGCATACACCGTTCCTCTGACGCCCTCCGTAGACCTTGATCATGGAGCCCACGCCGACCCCTCCTCGGAGGTACAGGTGGCGAGCTGTGGACGCTGGTGAGATGTACAAACGGGATACAATATATGTTGCAATATATCCTTGTTCTTGACTTGTTCACCCAGAAGACATGAAATCAAACATTCCAGCTTATCAAATGTGTGACATTTTTCTCTGCAGACTCTAATGCTATTGTTATTGTCAATATGCCCGAGTAGATAACATACACAGCAGCTGAGGGAGGATTGTGTGCATATGCTTTTATTGTATACATTGTACCAGGAATATCTGCTCACGATAGCGCTGACCTATATTACACAAGTGTTTCGTGTATGATATATAAAATGGATTCTTAAAATGGGGTCCAGAGACCAGCAGGAGTCTTTGAAGTGTGTTGAGGAAAAATGTATGTAAGAAGTTCACTACTTTAATGTTGGTAAAATCAATGTTTAACCTGGAACCTACAGATTTTTTTATGTTTTGCTTGTCATGATGGTTTCAGCTGCTGCAGATGAACTGATGTATGGGAAACACTTCCCGTGTTACCAACCTGCTCTGGTGTAAAACCAGTTGTCATCGCAGGGAGCCAGCTCCTTATGCCTGGCGAGCTTCACGGTGTCAACCCATTCTGGGACTTTGAGCTTGCCAGATCTGAAAAATCAATCATCAGTTGATGTGATGAATCAACCTCTCACACCATGAAAAAATAAATACAGTATTCATCCTAAACCCAACAGCTCGAGGCAGGCAGCCTCCCACAGCCGGGGTTACCTCGAGGTCTCTATCTCATTGCCACTGTCTCCAAGTGCTTGCTCATGGTGGGAACTGTTGGGTCTCTCTTTATAAGTAGTTCAGTCTTGACCTGCTCTGTATGAAAAATACCCTGACATAACTCGCGCTATTCAAATAAAATTGAATTGGAAAAAAAAATTAACTGCAGCAGTTTTTATTTCACAGGGTCATTTTCCTCAGTAAGGAAACTATCTTAATTCATAGTGGCTCTAGAGTGCATTTCTAAAGAACCCATCCCTGTTATTTCCAATAAATACAACATTTATGTCATTTATGTGACACACTAGGGCTGCACAATGAATCGGATGGTCTAAGTGCAATATGCAAAATGAAGCTGCAGATGTTTGAATAAAGGTAAAATGTGTGCCAAAACAAGCATTATTAGTGCTGTAGAGATCCCCTGGCCTAAAAATCTTGTTCTCCACATCTAAAAAAATGCACCGACCCCAAAAGATGTCACATCGTCATGATTTAAATAAATCAAAAATCAAAAAAATCAAATTGCAATTACAATATCTGTCTAAAATAATCACAATATGATGTCTTTACCATATGGAAACTCCAGCTTTTAAAAAATAAAAAATAATCAGCTGTTATTTTTTAACCCTTGACCTTCATTTACATACAGCAGCAGCCTGTGTGATTGACAGGTGGATATCAGCCAGTCATGCAGTGAAGGCTGGTTTTTAAGCTTTACTTACTTTTTGAGGAAAGCTGACAGAGCCCTGACAAACTCCTGCTGGTTGACATCTTTCACCGTGACGCTTGGCATCTAAAAAGGAGAAGAAAGGGTGAGCTTAAAATTAAAATGAAATGTTCAAAGAGCTGTGTTGTAACCAGAATGCACCTGACCGGCTGGGCTATGTGCTCAGTAACTAATTATAAGGTTAACTGATAGCACGCAAGTCGCAACGCCCCTGACGGTCACCCATACACACAGCTCCCACACTGCCTCAGTAATGAAAACATTTAAAAAAAAATCTTACTTTTTATATATTACAACACAAAGCCGTCGGCCAGGTGGTCAGGTTTGGGATGCAGCATGGAGGGTTAGCCGCTGGTAGCTAATGCAGCGAAGCAGTTAAAGGGAGGATGCTGGGGGAGGGGGGGGGACTGTCCTCATTTGGAAAAGATGATACCATAGTCTGAATTAACCTTCAACAAAAACCTGCTTAACTCAACCACACACGGTAATATCCCTCCATGTGTGTTTTAATCACACATTATACCTCCTTTTTGTGTTCAATTGAAGGCAAAACAATGGATTTGACGAGCTTTGTCACTGATGTTGGGTGTGAGCTGTTCCCATTGAACCCCAGCAGAGGGCAGTGTTGTGGCACCTTTTTTTTTTTACCCCCCACAAATCCTGGCCCATTTCTCTGCTTTATCAGACCCAAAGGCTTTTCAAGAAGTGTGCTGCAGTCAGCAGGCGAGGAGACAGCACCTCAGTGAGGAAGACACCGCCAGTGGAGGGTTAGTCACACTCGCCTAACACTCATTTTATTTGTCTTTTAAATGCTTAAAGTGTAGCCTCCCTTTTTACACAGGTACAACTGGATGCATAGATGGGACTTAAAGAAATCCATAAGTTACTTTAAACTGTGCTACAATTCAAAGGATGACCAGAGGTGACACTTTTCATACAGCATAATTGCTTTCTTTTATCACTGGTGGGCGTTTGCTGCAATTGTAAGGATAATATGCCATCTTTTTAGATTCAGTGTCCAGGCCTCCGTTTGCCAAGGTGATGCCCTTGGAAAACAAAGCAGTATGCAGCGGCTGCTATCTGTATTTATAAAAAATATCTCATTCCTGGCACAAAAGTCTAAAGACAGCGTACAGAGAAAGCTTCCTAACCAAGGTGACCAGTTTTTCATCACATATCTTTCTTGACCTCCCATGACCTGCCTTCCTTCTCCCCTGTTCTCACGTCTTTGCTTTAACCATTAACGTCATATTTCATAAAAAATAATCATCAATAACTTTATCTCAAAGTATTCAAAGCATTCATTAACAGTTCAGTTTTTTAAATACCTCCCGTTTCACAGTATTTGAGTTAGCAGCTCAGTTTCCAAAGACAAAAAGCACCTGTCTAATACTTGAGGCAGGTTGAAGAGCTGACTTTTGTAAATTTTAAAATACTGGCAAATTACAATAACAAGATATTAGAGTCCAAGGTTTTTCTGACTTATTTTGACATGTAGCCAATAAATATGCATAGTAGTTCACAATAGTGAAACCTTCACTGAAACACTTGTGCTAACAAGTGTTAGCTTTACAATTTAATGAAATTAATGTTTTACCAGAATTATGCAGTTTCAATTTTCTGTGGATGCACTAATCAAGTGATGAGCTATTTTCCAGCATTAAAACATAGCAATAATTATCTACAATACAATCTGAGTTTGATGGGTGCGTGTCATAACTGCAGGCTTTTATTAAAGATTAAAATACTTGTGACAGGAAGATGTGATAAGAGTGGAAATTAGTCAATTAATTGATTAGTCAGTTGACAGAAAATACAATCATTGTGTAAGTAATTTTTTTGTACCAAAACATTTGATTGTAACAGGTTCTTAAATGTGCGGATCTGCAGCTTTTTGCCATCTCATTCCATTGTAAGTTAAACCCCTTTGGGTTTTGGCTCGTCATTTCAAAACCGTAAGCAGATTGAAGGCATCCCTTTTTGGCTCTGGAAGCTTAAGATAAGACTTTTTCATTATTTGTGACATATTTTGACTGAACAATTAATCAAGGAAATAATAGTGGGATTAATTAATAATAAACAACCAGTCATTTCTTGCAGCGCTAATTATGTTGTATATTGTCTCCAAAGTATTGCTTAATTTTTTTTGTAGTCGGTTTTAAGTGTAGTTTGACGCTATAAACTGCTGAAAATGCAGAAAATCCTGCCGTTTTTTAATTATTTCTTACCTTGACCCCAAAAAGTCATGTATTTCTTTTCTGGTATGTAGGCTAACATCGTATGCGGATTACCACCAGCATGTAAAACACTGCATCTAAAGCCAAGGTAGATGAATGTGTGTTTACAAATGTTCTTAAGCACACACACACACACACACACACACACACACACACACACAACCACAGCAGCCCTGTGCTCTGTGTCTGCCCGTCTAAGCTTCTTCCCCTCCCCCCTCTCAACATCTCTCTCCCCTTTTTTGTCCCCCTCGCCCTCTCCTTTTCCTCCCGCTCGCTCTCTCCTGCCTGCTAGCACTATTTCAAGCCTCTGCCTAGGAGAGAGACAGAGAGCGAGAGAGAGAGAGAGAGAGAGAGAGAGGAAGAGACACACAGATGCGCAGTTAAGAGGGAGTAGGAGAGACGAGAGAAGAGGAGAGAGGGGAGAGAGAGGGGAGGGGAAAGCAGACAGGATTTAGAGTTCAAGTGCACGTGCAGAAAATAGGCTGAATAGAGGAGAGTCAGAGCAGAAAGGAAACCAGGAAAAGGAACGGCAGGGGCGGGAGACAAAGCACACAGTAGCTCTTTCTCTTCTTCTTTTCTTCCTCTCTATTTTCCTCTCACAGAAAGAGAAGGCATTAGCCTTGGAACAGAGGGGTGAAAAAAAAGGAAAAAGCACAGAATTCAAATACCGTGAGCGTAAAAGAAGAAAAAAAATGTATTCCTATTCCTGCCCCCTCCTCTTTCCTCTCCCCACCAACACACTCCTCCTCTATCCCTCCCTCTTGGATATTTCTCCATGAACCCCCAGTCTCTCTCTCCCTCTCTCTTTCTTTCTCTCTCGTTTCTCTCCTCTCTCTCTCTTTCTGCTCTCCTTTCTCTTCCCACCTCTTCAACACACACACACACCACACAACACACACACACACACACACACACACACACGCCCCGGAGTCCTTCCCACTCCTTCCCCTCACGCGCGCTTACTATCCACTATCGACTTTCACTGGAGACCGACTGCATCGAGCTCTTTTTTCTTTCTTCCTCCTTTTTCTTTTACTTGCCAGTCTTTGCTTTTGGTTATGCCCTCATGTGTGGAGGCACCATCACGTAGACGCTTCACCCCTACTATGCGTGGCGCCCGTGAAAAATGCAGGCCGTGGATTGTCCCTGCGTTAGACTGAATGCCACAAACCGCTTGTCCCTTCCTGAATAGTTTTTTCTTTTCTTCTGCAGTATTTTTTTTGGTTTTTTGTTTTTCAAATCAGAGCACGACTTCTGTTGAGAAGGCTTTAAAAAAAATCTTATCTGTATTCTGAAGCGGGAGCTTAGGGTTGAAGAAAAAGGAAAAGAGTGTCCGATTAATAGACAGATGAAGGGGGACAGAGGCAAGAATGAGGGGAAAATGGAGAGCATGGTCTACGCTAGACAGCAAGAAAGACCGAGAGAGGGAGAGGTAGGAGAAAGAGTACCGGCACTGCTAAGAAAAACAGGAGGGGGAAGAAAGGAGAAGGGGGACCAGTAGGGGATAGACTTAGGAAGGAGAGACGGCTGGATAGGAATTGGCAAAATCGCGGGAAAAAGGAGAAAAAAACAAAACTCCAGAATGAGAAGAAACTGGACTTCTCTCCAAAGTCTCACGCTCTCTGGTCGCCTTTGATTTTTTGTTTTTTGACATGATTTTTCATCACTTCTCCGGTCACCCTCTCATTCATCTGTGAGTATGTACATGTCCTTTTCCTTTCCCATACATGCATCCTCTCTGCCTTTGCTTCTTTCTTTAAAACGTTCTCCTCTCCCCCCGCCTTTGCCTTCACTTCATTTTTCAACTCTCCCTTTTTTCTTGTTTGAAAAATGTGTTTCCTAGGTTGCTAATCCCCCCATCCTGTTCGTCTATCCCATCTCGCGCTCCACCTCTCTCCCTCTTTCACTGTCTTTCTCTCCTTCCCCCTTCAGCTCCTCTTTATCGTGGGTTATCGCTGCTCTCTTTGCCTCTCCTTGAAGGATTACCTCCGCTCACATTTAGATGAGGGCTTTGGAAAGGGATCACTGAGTGTACCCAGTTTTAGGGGGCCCATGCATGGGAGGCTAGCACATGAAGGAGGCAGGGTGTGTGCATTTGTGTGTGTGTATCTGTCTGTATTAGTCATGTGTATCTGTGTGTCTGTGCATGTGTTTTTGTGTATGTTTCTGCATACGTGTTTCTGTGTGTGTGCATGCATGCTTGTGTGTGAGTGTTCGGTGTGTGTGTGTGTGTATGTGTGTGTGTGTGTGTGTGTTTAAATAAGCCTACATTGGAAAGCTTCATTATTGGACCTGTCAGTGCTGTAAGTCTCCCCGAAGGCAACGAGGTGGAGATGAGAGACAGAAAGACACACGGTAGGGCACCGTGCACACACGCCTGTCACACGGCTGTCCCCAACGGTGGGCATACAGGCCATTATGATGTCTTCCAGATGGACACATCTGTCTGTTTCCCTGGGAACAAATCTGCTAAAAGCGGGGCGAGAGTCATGAACAAGCCCTCTCTGGTGGAGTTTTATTTGTTTATATCTGCCATAGCAGGCTGCCTGAATGTCATGATGTATGGTGTAAGGAAACACCTCCGGAGACACCTCTAGAGCTACGTTAGATC